GCAAGGTACAACAGTTAAGCTTTTTATTTATTTTTTCTTGTGTTCGAACAAGAGCTTTCTTTTCTGGGCACAAAGTGTGTAGAAACTGTGCAGATGTTCTATAGTTACCAGCTCTTTCGGCTCTACTTTTAGCCATTATCAAGGATGATTTTATTTTTTCAGTTTAATTGAGTGCATTCGTTATGTGTATGCTTTCAGTGTGTTATAGCGATGTTTACCTTCCGAACACGGTTAGCATATTGTCGCCTAGATCGTAGTTAATATTGTTAAGAGTTGCTGTTTTTTATTATGATTAGGGCTTCCATTATTTTTAATCTTTTTTTTTTACAGGTGGCTGAGGTTATTATATTTGTGTTTTCGACTAGTATGTTTCGTTTGCGGGTGTGTTTAAATAGGTTCTAATAGCGCTATGGTTATATAGGTGTAACGTAAGGCGTCTGGATAGGCATGTTGTTGTGTGACCGATGTAATTATTTATGTTCGGTTTGATTGGGAACACAGTTCCTTAAGGGGCATTTCAACTCATAGATAATGTTCGCTCGTTGTAATTTTGATTTAGCTGGTGTGTTGTTTTTTTGAGGATAAGGTTAGCTGTCTTAAATTTTTTATAGTAGATAATTAATTTGATTTTTTTTTCGGGTCGATTAGGGTAGTGTATATCTATAATATTTCTAAGTGAAAATTCATCTAGTTTCTAGTTAATATGAATTTGGTTTTTGTAGAAGATATTTATGTAATCTTTCACTGTATATTCACTATCATTGCTATTTACTTAGGGAAGAAATAGTCATATTTGGCGGTCTATAAGGTGGTTAGGGAAGCCATTATTAATTAGTGTCTGTTTTAGATTATTTAGTTCTTTAAGGAAGAGTAATCGAGAGGATGATTTCTGATGTGATTTTTTAGGAAGTTATTTTTTAATACTGTTATTTTGTATCTGAGTAGGCATTCACTTTTAAAGTTAAGGTGGTAAGAGTTTCTGCTAGTGAGTTTTTATATAATGAGGTGATGAAAGTGTTATTACTATATTCTACAAGAACATCTAAGAATGGAAGTTTGTTTTTTGACTAGGTTCCTAGGTAAAGTTAAGGACGGAGTTTTTCTGAAATGTGGTCTTAAGTGTATCTATTTCTTTAGTGCTATCTGCTAAAATAAAAATATTGTCTACGTAGCGGAGATATATTTTAGGTTTACAGACCTGTTTAAATATCATATTTTCTACATGGACTGAGTTGATTTCCCATACTAACGCCATTAGTTTGGGTGTAAATGTTTCCATTATGGTCATTGAATGGGACTTAGTGCATGCGTGTAGTAATCTTTTGAGTATAAATGGTTTGATGCTTGGCGGAGGGATAGAATTATTAATATGCACAGATTTGAGGATAATGTCAATGGTTTGATCAATGGTGACGTTTGTAAATATTTTTCGACGTCAAGTGACACTATGATACCTTGGTTTGGTTTAGTAGTATTCAAAATTTGGAGGAATTCGTGGGTGGATGTGATGCTGTAATTCGTGGGTAGGTATGGAGTGGTGATGTCGTTCAGGAAATTTGATAGCTCGTAGATAGATGTTGGGATCTGATTGGTTGTAGCGGGTCTCCGGGTTTATGTGTTTTTATATTTCCATATAAATATCCAGGTTAGAAATCTCCAATGATTTTTTTGGATTTTCAGGGAACCGTCTTCCGGCTGTTATTAGTTTGTTGACGGACCTCTTTAGGGTCTCCGTGGGGTTTCTATACAGTTTGTTGAATTTTGTTCGGTCGTCAGTAACGTTTTGTAATTTTTTGTGGTAATCGGTTTTATCCAAAATTACGTTTGTATTAGTCTGTTAGCTGGTCTGATGAAAATAAAATATCTGTAAACACACACACTAAAAGCATACACATAACACACACTCAATTAAACTGAAACAATAAAATCATCGTTGATAATGGCTAAAGCGCTCGGAACTATAGAAAATTTAGACGGTTTCTACACACCCTGTGTCCAAAAAAGAAAGCTCTTGTGCGAACAAAAGAAAATTAAATAAAAAGCTTAACTGTAGTCTGTCGTTTTAATGAGACATGCATAAATGAAGGATTGCTTCTAAATACACACACATATATATATATATATATATATATATATATATATATATTTTTATTTTCGTTTTTTCACACACACACACACACACACACACACCCACACACACACATATATATATATATATATATATATATATATATATATATATATATATATATATATATATATTGTTACGGGACCTTACCCATAATAACATAATGGACTATTCCGTACGTAATAAATACTGCGCCTCAAGAGGAAGCAGGCAGTTCTGTCAGAAGTTTAGAGTTTAGTCTGAAATCTGAAATGAGGTCCGCCAGAAGTCTGTCAGTCGGAGCGAGCGAGTCAGTCAGTCGAGTCAGAGGCAGTCCAAAATAGAATCGTTCAGACAATTACTACTAAACCAGATTGTTCGTACTAACACTTTCTACTTCTCTGTATATATTCCTGTTTGTAATATATCTGTGTTATTCCTTCCGTATTCGAGTTCTTCTTTATTGGTTCTACCTTGGACTATCAACGTGGTACAAGGAACCGAACCATAACATATATATATATATATATATATATATATATATATATAATGTGTGTGTATGTGATTAAATAAGAACCAAAAAGCAGACATTTATGCATTTCGAGTACCGCCAGTTTATTTTGGGCCATTGAAGCAATAGCTTTCGATTGTCTCTCTCGAATGAAATATCTTCGACAAGTTGGAGCCATGACTGATTATTTGTATGAACTTGATCACACGCGCTGTGTCGAGTACTTACTCGACTGTCATCATTTAATCTAATCATGTTACCAAATACGAGTGACTTATCCTGTCATCATTCTCCGTATGATCTTCCTTTCTTCTGCGCATGCGCACATTGCATTTTCGTAATTATTCCATTGTTTAAGTGACGTAATAAAGTTAGCAACGCAATTCATACTATTTCTGATTTGACGCGAATAATTTATGACTATTTTGACAGCAAAAGGAGCTTATTAAATCTCGTTCTTAGACAAAAGTCTAAATTTCTTTTGAAATTATCAATAAAACTTAATAACTTTATCAATGATTGATTGTTCTTCCAGAAAAGGTTACATTTTGATTGATTTAAAAGGAGATTAAGACATTGAAACGAGTATTGTTTTTATTTGAAAGGATTTCCATGTCTTTTGTGTAGAAAATTAGATTATCTCCCTTAACGCGTTGGTTTCAACTTAGCAGTCAAATGCAAAAGCATACACCGCAGTTTGTATGATAAGAAACGAAAAGAAAAGGCATATTAAAAATGTAGATATTAAAAGGAAATATATGAAAAAGAAAGACAGATTGCAATTGGGGAAGACGGGTGGAAATAAAGAAAAAAGAAAGAATGAATGAATGAAAAAGAAAGAAAGAAACAATGACAGAAAGAAAATGAATATAAACAAATAAAGAATAAAAAAGAAAAAAAAAGCAGAAATAATCAAATGAACAAGAGAGAAAATAAATAACATTTGATGAAAGTGAACGTCAGGAAGAAAGAGTATAAACAAAAAATAAAAATAAGAAAGATAAAATATCTGTAGAAAGAAAGAAAAAATGAAAGAAAAAGAATGAAAGAAAGAAAGATATGAAGTAAAAATGAGTATAAACAAAAAAAAAAAAGAATAAAAACTAAAGAAAATAAGGAAAATGAAATATCCGTAGAAAGAAAGAAAAAAAACGAAGAATGAAAGAAAGAATGAAATAAGGAAAGAAAAATGAGTATAAACAAAAAAAAAAAGAAGAAAAAATAAAGAATTAACATTAGATGAAAGAGAAAAAGTAACGGATGAATAAAATATTCGCAGAAAGAACAAAAAAGAAAAATGAAAGAAAGAAAAAGGATGAAAGAAAGAAAGAATGAATGGCTGGAAGATAGAAAAATGAATATGAACAAAGAAAAAAAAATTAAAAATAAAGAAAAATAAGGAAAATGAAATATCCGTAGAAAGAAAGAAAAAAATAAAGAATAAAAGAAAGAAAATAATGAAAGAAAGAAAGAAAACAGGAAAGAAAGAAAGAAAAGAAATAATTGATACAAAAGAAAGAATGAAAGAAAGAAAGAAAGAAAGAAAGAAAGAAAGAAAGAAAGAAAGCAATGGTGTATTTATTAATTAAAAGAAAAAAACCATAAAGAAAATTAAACATTTTTACAATGCTATTCACTCTGTAGAAACCCCGATCAGTCGATGTAGAGAGATACATAATAAAGAGCACTGCTTATGTGGATATGTAGGGAAGATAATGGTTAACACTAGACTTTAAAGGATTAAGATTCTAGTGATCGGGGAAGCATCCTCTTGGCAGTCGGTTCCACAAGGAAATGGTTCGTAGCAAGAAGCTATTGGGAGTGGAATTTACATCTTAGCAAAAGAATACGAAGGGAATAAAGGTGATTCGTTACAACGTGCGTAGAATAACAATGCTTAGCCGTGATGGTTAGGAATGGTGGAACTAATAAGTGGAGTTTATCTGAACACATTACAAGGAAATAACGAACAGCAAGAGGCTAGCCACGTTTTGTCTGTGAGAAAGAGGTTGTGGGTTTCGGAAATAATTAGTAACTCATGTGAAAAAAATGAAAGAAAAATAAGTAGGAAATGAAAAAAAAGGAAAGAAATCGAGGCGAATTAAAGTCGCGAAAAAGAGAAAGAAATCAAGAAATAAATAAAAATAATCTGGAAAGGGATTTGAAATAGAATAAAAAGAAGGCGAAGAAGGATAAAGAAAAATAAGTTATGAGAAAAGAGCAATGAATCAGGTCCTTGATATAAGAAATTAAAAATGTCACCCACCACCGAAATCAAACAGAAAAAAAGAGAGAAATAAAAAATAAAAATCGAAAAAAAAAAATATAGTAAAAATAAAATTCTATCATTAAAAAACAATAACCTGTAAAAATATAAGAAGATTAAAGAATGTAAGATTGAGGGGAAGAAAAATAGGAAGGAAAACAAAATGTAAGAAGGAGAAATGAGAAAAGTAAAGAAGAAGCAGACTGAACGAAAAAGGAAATGAACGAAAGCGGGAAAACGAAAGAAGGAAAAAGAAAGAAAGAGAAAAGGGGTATAAGATGGTGAATTTGGGGAAAAGAAAGAAAAACAGTAGGTAAAGAAGGGAGGAGAAAATATCTTGTAAATGTAAAACGAAAGAAAGAGAGAATGAAATACAGTTAAAAATTCAAAGAAATGAAAGAAAAAGAAAGAAAGAAAGAAAGAAAGAAAAGGGATGTGCAGACAATAAAATAAGACAGAGACAGAAAGAAACAGTGACAAAGAAACAAAGAAAAAAGAAGGCAAGAAAAGGGAAGAAAGAAAGAAAGAAAGAAAGAAAGAAAGAAAGAAAGAAAGAAAGGAAAAGGAGATTAATATAGGTTGAACAAACAATGATATAAGAAAGACAGAAAGAAAGAAAGAAAGAGAGAGAGAAAGAAAGAATGAAAAGGGAGATTAATGTAGGTTGTAAAAGCAAGGATATAAGAAAGAAAGAAAGATAGAAAGAAAGAAAGAAAGAATGAAAAGGTAGATTAATGTAGGCTGTAAAAGCAAGGATATAAGAAAGAAAGAAAGAAAGAAAGAAAGAAAGAAAGAAAGAGAGAAAGAAAGAATGAAAAGGGAGATTAATGTAGTTTGTAAAAGCAAGGATATAAGAAAGAAAGAAAGAAAGAAAGAAAGAAAGAAAGAAAGAAAAGAGAGAGTTATGTGAGAATGTTCTTGCGCAAATCGTTAATCTACAGTCGAAAATGGATACAACAGAGGAGAGGGCATTCGGTGACCTTATGTGCTTCAGTTGAGCAACAATTAACAAACCGCCCTCATAGACATGTTCAATAGAAAAGACTTTGTAACAGAGAAGATTTTTCCAGAAATGCCAAAGAGCGGAATTTGTGTAGCAGCCCATTTTGTCATACATTGTTAGTAGCCGTCGATATATCCCAAATTACTCCTATTCTTATGGATTTATTATTAAGCGCTTCACTAGTTCTATGCGTAAATGGCAGTTAAGGCATCAGCAATAAACATAGAGGAACAAAGCCTGTATTGTTTGTCGCCCAGGAAATTGTTTATGTGCCCAAATAAAGCGGTGTCATCAAACGGAATCCACATATAACCCTGTAGGTCCTACAAAGTGTGCCGTTTGACATTTTCAAAAAAATTACCTACAAAGTGATCAGGAAAACGCGAGGGTGTGTCGGACAAAGAGAACTGGTATGGAGGAAGATATAGTGTGCGATGAATAAATTGTCGCCTAAATTACGTAAATATGAACATAAAATTGACATCTTATTTTAACAGATATATTTACTAAAATTAAACAAAAAATATCTTGAAATGCTGAAGAGTAAATGTATTCTTTACAATCGTCATTGGATTCAACCTCAGCCTCCAGTTTATTTTGGAATCTCTTGCATCTCTTCTGGAAGGTGTCCTTGTTTAAGTTGGTGAATGCTGCCATAATCCTTGCCTTCAGTTCATCTTTAGTATTACAAGGAGTTTTGTTGGTCTCTTGCTCAATTGTGTCTCACACATAATAACCAAGAGGAGCGCAGTCTGAACATTTAGGTGGTCAGATATAAGGGATGATGTGGTCGCAGAATTTGCCTGACAGCCATGGCTCGTACTCCTGCTAATGTGGCATGGTGAAGAGACATGTTGCCAGATATAGGGTTTTCCTACAGACACCCTCTTGACTCAGGGCAGCACTACCTTCTCAAATCATTTATGTCGGTCTCACTTTTGAGTCTGAGGACCTGTGGAAAGTAAATGGAGGTATAATGTAGTCATCACAAGTGATTACTCGAAAACAAAATAAAGCTGACTCTATGTAACATCTCTTTCCGAATCCTATGATCTGTCCACAGATTTACAACCGACCAGCCTGAAATGTTCGTATTTGTGATTCCGGTGCGAATGCCAAGCAGTTCCGCATGCCCTTTCTCAGTTTCTGGTGGAGGTAATTGGGTTACTGTGCTCTTTTTCTCACAGACGATGCCCACCTGACTCTGACGATTGCATTTAGCATCAAACACACCGTCGCCTCTGGGCATTAACTTCAATATCCACTTTTCAACTATATACGCTGTATTCCTTATGCTGAGCACTTTAAACCATAAATATAGCATACATTAAAAGCATATTTCATCATTCTGTATTTCTTATTATATTTGCTCTGTTCTTACATTGAGCTCTCTTTCGATTTGTATCCTCCTTGGGAGTATCCTACTAATTATCAAGTAATATATATATATATATATATATATATATATATATATATATATATATATATATATATATATATATATATATATATATATATATATATATATATATATATATATATATATATATATATATATATATATATATATAATGATATATATACTTTCTTAATATGTATATATAGAAAAGTTGTAAATTAAAAAAATAATCAGTTTTTTTATGAAAGTATATATATATATATATATATATATCTATATATATATATTTGATATTTCAGATTGACCTCAGTCTTTCTTTAGAAATAACTCTTTGTTTACAAGTAGCGTCCGTCACGAGATGCGGGCGTCACGTGATATGGAACGCCACTGTGTTCGAATATTCTTAACGTAAATCTAACTGTAATAATATTTTAGATGTTGTTTAAAAAATTTTTTTAAAAATTAACTATCTAAAAAAATGTTTAACTATTGAAATATTTATAAAGATTTAAAATACCCAAGTCTTTATTTAACCCTAGTTTATATGTATTTAATTTTAAAATCCAGTATTTTTCTTTTTTTCTGCGTATGTAGAACTCAAAACAGAATCTATCAATAAACATTTACAGTTTATATATATATATATATATATATATATATATATATATATATATTGCATAAATATATATATATATATATATATATATATATATATATATATATATATGTGCATATTTAGGCAATTTCAATTTTCATTGATGCATTTTTTTTTTTTAAGCATTGTGCCCAAAGCAAGGCGTGAAGCCACTAGGATGCAGGGGGTTGCGGAAGATTTGGAGCGAGAGCAGATAGGAGTGATAGGAGAAAGGATGAGGAGAAGGATAGTGGGTAAATCAAGGTAATTGGAGATGTCGATTGACATTACATTCGAATAGTTGGAGATTATAGCTTTCAGGGAAACAGTAATTGGGGAGGGTGTTCCACTGGCGAGAGGTGCGAGGTATGAAGCTATTGGAGTAGAAGAGACGGCTACATTTGAAGGTTTCTACGGTGTAAGGGTGGGAGCGGGATGCCAACCTCGTGGGGCGCTTGAATTCATGGAGTCTGGGAACCAGAGAGAGCAGCTCATCAGAGCAGTTACCATGGAAGTATTTGTAGAAAAGACAGAGAGAGACGACGGCGCGTCTGTGAGAGAGTGACTGCAGACAAGACGCTAGATCAGGGCCAATTAGATTACATATCCGTCTCTGGATCTTGTCAAGAACTCCGAAGTAAGCAGAAGGTGCTCCAGCCCATATATGGCAGCAATACTCCATGCAAGGGCGAATGGTTGTTTTGTATATTTGAAGTATCGATTCAGGGGAGAAAAATTTCCTGGCGCGGCACAGAGAGCCAACTTTCCTCGCGGTGGAAGAAGCAATTGACTCAATGTATTTGTTCCATCTCAGGTCAGCAGTCAGCGTGAGACCGATCAGACGCAGGGAGTTGCTCTCAGGAAGTTGATTATCAGACATTTTAATGTGGGACAGGGAAGGATCTCTCTGGTGGTTAATTGAGAGTAATTTAGTTTTTGTGGCGTTAAAGTTGACCAGCCAATTCTTGCCCCAGTTAACAACCGATTGGAGGTCCATTTCAAGACGCACGGCAAGGTTAGTTTTGTCGCCGACACTAGATTTGTTTTTGAGGCAAGAGTAAATTGCAGTGTCGTCTGCATAGATGCCAACTTGGGAATCTATGTTTCATTAAATAATGTAGACAAGTTTTGTCTATTTATTTTAGTTCCTTTCATATTGTCTGATAAGCTTAATAACATTATTACTGAAAGACGAAAGGAAATCACCATATTGATACATGTTTAAATCCGATCTAAGCTTTCAGCTTACATAAGCCATTATCAAAGATGACAATTACTTTTCAAAATATAAACCAATACACAGACGAAACAATAATGATAGTCTGTTTTTGTTGCATGAAAAATTTCAAATCAACGACTAACTCGTGTATACGAGGCGCGGAAGCGAAAATCGCATCGCAGCTCATGACGTCACATATGACCACGCGAGAGTGAAAACGAGAAGTATTAAGTATGGGGAGCCATTGGTATAAACCAATGGCCTCTGTTATCAATTATACGCATTTAAGAATATTTGTGGAGACTTCGTAGTTTATTTTGTTCTAGTTAGGTTTCAATCTTTAGTTTTTGTCTATTGTTACTTAAAATGAATAGACAAACCTTGTCTTCATTATTGAATGAAACATGCATCAATATATATATATATATATATATATATATATATATATATATATATATATTGAGTGTTAAATGATAAAGATTATTTACCATTATGTTTTTTTAGCAGTAATGTCAGTGGATACTGAGGAGTTGAAAATAACTTGTGTAAAAGAAGATACGCTGTTTTTAGTAGCCTGAAGCTGAACTAAGGTTATGTAAATCTATCGAACGATCTGAGATTACGTTTTGATAATATGCACATTTCTAAGTCGGAATTGTTCCATCTTATCAACATGAGTACAAGTGGCTTAACGACAAAATAGCCAGGCGCCTTGAATTTCCAGAAATCAAAACACGCAAAAGAAGTTTGGTATTAGTGAAAGTGTTTCAAGTACAAAGAAACCGGAAGAAAAGAAAAATTTACAGCCAGACAAGGGATGAGTAAATGTACATTTGACAGCGAGCTTTTATTTGATATATTACGCAGGGTATTACGAAAAACCAACTTCCACGGATATATAGCAGCAAAAATAGTCATAATTGCCTAAAAAAAATCGAAATAAAAAAAAAAATTTTAAAAAATGGGATATTGGAAAATAACAAAAAGTAATTTTAAATAAGGTCTGCAAATAGTTAAATTCTAATGCAACAGAATATGTAAGAAAACCAGTAATAGAAAGCAACTATGCAAGATACACCGCAAACGCATTAAAATGTGTTGGTTGACAAGTATAGTAAACTTTTATTTAAGTATTCCCTACAAGCAAGGTCGAGTGCCACCAGCACACAGGGAATTACAGAGAGTGAAATAGGTAAAAGATTATCTATACAGAGGATTGAGGAAGGAACAAAAGAACAGGGATCAAGACAACAGAAGATGGCAATTTATGTTTTTAGATTGTAGTTATCAGGGAACCAAATAAGAGGAAGGGAGTTCTGCTGTTAGGAAGTGCGAGAAAATAAACTTCAAGAGTAGAAGTGTCGGTTGCGTTTAACGACTTCAACAGCAAAAGAAAGGAAACCAAGTGAGAATCTAGTAGCATGCTTAAATTCGTGTAGTCGGGACATGAGTGAACATAGCTCATCAGAACATTTGCCATGAAAACATTTGTAGAAAAGACAGAAGGAAGCCACATTACGTCTATGAGAAAGTGACTGAAGTCGAGATGCTAAGTCAGGACTGATTATATTGCAGATCTTTCTTTACATTTTGTCGAGAAACAGCAGGGGCACCAGACCAGATATATATATATATTTTTTTTTAAGCATTTCACTATTTTAACGATGTTGCGACAGTACCTTTTTGCTTGATATATTGTCTGAAATTGGAATTGTTTTAGCCGCTTCTATCTCCTGCTTCTAAATCTTATTGAAAGCATATCTCCCAAGCCCAGTACTTGGTGAGGGCGGAAGAATTGGCCGTTGATTCCCCCCCCCCCGCAACCAGGTCGATGCTTGGACATAAGCTAAGCCGTATATTCAGTCACCATCATAAGAAAGAAGGCAGACAACCACTAGCTGGCCCTTGTGAGTATAGTTTCGCTCTAGCAGAAACCCATTTACATTTTTCTTTTCTTTTTTTGTTTTTCTTTTTTTTTTGTTGTTGTTCTTTTCGTTTTTTAAATTTTTCTATCCCCCCCACACACAAAGGCATTGTGTCCCAATGCTTCTCCTTATTTGATAGTTTAGTAAGAAATCCCGGTTCGAAAATGAAAAAAAAAAAAAAAAAGAGGAAAGAACGGGAAAAATTGAAAATTAAATGTCTTTGACTAGATGCGATAATAAATCCGGGTATGGCAACAATATTCAATGCAAATCGAATGGTAGATTTGTAGATGTGTAAGATTAGGTACCTCCGCGAAATTGCAAAAAAATAGAGCATAGTCTGATGAAAAAGACGCCAAAATTTATGAAAACAAAATTTTATCGTCAAAATGCTTATGTTTTTATGAAGAGGATAGACCAAATTTTTTTTTAATTATTTTTCAAAATTTTTCCATCTTTTTAGAATATTCTAAATTTTGATTTAAAAAACCTTGTTTATCTTTTTTGCAAAAAGGGATACTAAATAACATAGATAATTTTTAGCGCGTTTTTTTGGTATTTATACCTATTAATTTGGAAAATCTTGTAAAAATAAAAATAATTGTCAGATGTTAATGAAACTTTCAGAAAATATTCACAGATGATCGAAATTATTATGAATATGATTGTTTTATTAAAGTCATGGCAGAATTTTTTTTTATTTTTATTAACACCCCCATATCTAATTTTATGAAAAACGCAAAAAATCCCATACCATCGGTTTTTAGCGATTACAATATTTAAAGCACAAGGCTTTGAAGAATGTAAATCATGTTTTTTTTTTTTTTAAGAAACTCAGTACCTGAAAATCAGCTCTGAATTGTAACATACAAAACTCAATAAAAACAAATATACTATTTAATCTCAAACGCTTTTATTTGTTTTTATTTGTTCGTATGAATATGGACAATATTTTCTGAAAGCAAAAAATTTTTTCCAATGAAAATTGAATTTTAATACAATTATTTCTCATTTCTTTAATTTTAAATCGAAATTTTAACACTTTTTCATTAAATTTTTAAAAATTATAAAATAAATAACAGCACCATCGACCTTTGTACTTCTCTTTCTTAGCTCGTCATTGTCTAGGGATTTGAAAATTGTATAATTTGGACCCATCCGATGATCCCCACTTATGAAGAAATGTAATTATGTTTTGATAAAAAGCGCTTAAATGGTTTGTCATTAAAAAGTACGGAAGGTCACAAGCTATAAAACGTCACGTGGCTTGAGTGTAAGCGTAGATTTCATTATTTATAGTATTTATTATCTCTATAGTGTTACGTGTTGATAATTGTAACAAAGGAAAAAAAATGATTTACCACAACACAGAGCTAAATCACAAACAAATATTTAATTTACTAAAACAGAACAAAACATATACAGGATAAACAATTGTAGCCTACAAAACAGAAAACAAAGAGTTACTGGCGGAGTGTTACGAGGAAGAAGGAAAGGGAATCATATCTTTATCACTTTAGGGCTAGTGAAGTAATCTAAGTGCTATATTTGGAAATCCACAAAGGTGTGTAAATAAATATTAATTTTTAGTTTGGTCAATGAAAATTAGTCAAAATTCTATTTACCAACTTTGTTCCATGAAATTCTCTTTTGGGTTTTGGTTGGTCGGCAACTTTTTATAGAGATTCTTTCGGCTGGATATAATAGTCCTTGAATCAAAAGCCGGAGTTGATACTGACAGCATTGACAACCCTTTTCCAAAATCCCATTTTTATAGGGGCTAACACCTAATGTGCATATTTCTAGATTTTTCTCGAATATACTAGAATGATCTAGAATCTTCCAAACATTCTATTTCTAATTTCTCTATTTTACAACTACTTCATGAATGAAAACTTTTTTGTAATAACAAGTAGAACTCAAAGGAATCCCTTATTATAGAAATGCATCCTCGTAACAATAGATAGTATCAACAAAGTTATGTTTTAAGTTCCAGTAATAATAAAATAACAAAATAAAGGAAATTGGAATGCTAATTTTTTGTTTTTTATTATCTACTAATTACGGGGTAGTACATAAGCTGATTCACACAAAAAACAAAAAAAAAACGTTACGTCACGTATGACCATCTGTATGATAACGCGAATCTCATGTTAGCTGTCGATATGTGATGACAGGTATCACTTGTCACTCGAGAAATGACAACACAGTTCAGATCGCTTACTTTTTTTCGATTCGAACAATTTTTTATTCGAAAAAAAGTAAGTAAAAGCTTCTTTCAAAATATTTTAACTAATCTTTAAATTTGCTAATTTTAGTCAAATAAATTTTGAAAAAACGTAGAATTGATTTTTGGTATAATTATACCAAAAATAAACGAGGATTTTTAACTTGTTTACAAAATTAGAAAAAAAATGGCTGATACCTACTTTTTTTAAGTAATTTTGATGACAGAAATAAACAACATTTTTAAATAAAATTTCGGACCTGATAATAATGAGTAAAAAATTTTTAAAAATAATCAAAAAATACTTTGGTGTTTCTTCTTAAGAATGATATATATATTTAAGCCGATAAAAATTTATTACATCGTTTTTTTTCATGCTATATATTTTTTGTAGCAATTTCGTGGAGGTACCTATGTAAGATGATCTGACGAGAAAAAAAAATCTCCTGGCATGGCACAATGAATCGACTTTTCTAGCAGAAGATGCATCTATTTATTCGATGTAGTTGTTCTACCTAAAGTCAATGGGAAATATGAGGCCAAGAAGGCATAGTGAGATACTCTCTCGGAGTTGAGCATCAACCATGATTACTGGGGTGGGGGGTTAAATAAGAGCAGTTTAGCTTTGGAGGCATTAAAGTTTACAATCTATTTACTGCACCAATTGATTGGAGATCCTTTTCTAAGTAGCGGCCATGTTGACTTTGTCAGTGAATGCCCGATTTACTATTGAGACAGATGTAAATGGTAGTTTTGTCTATATAGATGCCATCTTGAGAACTGATGACATCAGGAAGATCATTGATGATGATAAAAAATAGTGTAGGACCCAGGATAGAGCCTTGGGAAACTCCTGGGTTTGTATGCATGGAATAGGAAGTGTCTGTTCAAAACGACCTTCATGTACTGAATTGATAGAAATGATCGGATTAAGCCAAATCAAAAGCAATGAAAGAAGAAAATTGGTAAACGCTGATAGAAATCTAAATAGTTAAAACTATATTAGTTTACTACGGTCTATTATTCTGCCAGTTTACGAAGAAAGAAGAAATCTTTCAACATGACTGTGCTTCTTGCCACACATTACGATTCATGTGGATGAAAATATTAACTGGCCAGCACCAAGTCCCGGTTTCAATATAACTGAACCATTGCGATGGGAACTGAAGAAGAAAGTGCTACATTGAAAACCACTCGTTTTCTAAGAGCTTGAGGAGAATTTCACGATGAGGAAATTTGAGAAGTTTTCATTCAATGCCGAATCAAATTGAACTAATTATTCAAGTCAAATGTAGCAACACTAATGACTATGTTCATAATTTAACGTCCTGTATTTTCTGTGATAATATAACCCACTTTTCGCAAAGAAACAAATGTCTTTACTAAGAGCTGAAAGTTGAAATTTTCGCAGGTGACCCATAATTTTGCATGGCTCTTTTTCAGAATCACTATGTTCTAAGGGCATTAACGAAAGTGCAGTAGCTTGTTTTGTGTCTCTAATAGACCATAAAATGTACAGAGAAAAGCATAATTATAATGTGTTGCCAGGGATTACATATATATATATATATATATATATATATATATATATATATATATATATATATATATAGAGAGAGAGAGAGAGAGAGAGTGAGTGAAAGAGAGAGAGAGATTACAAATATGTATTTTAGATAGAGAGTTAGCGACATTATGAGAAATTTAAATACGGAAAACTGAGCAAATAAGAGGAAAATGAGACAAACACGTACACACACAGATAGATAGATAGATAGATAGATAGATAGATAGATAGATAGATAGATAGATAGATAGATAGATATTGAAAGAGAGAGATAGTGAAAAAGAGAGAGATTATCATAAAGGATGAACTAAGAAAGACTAGAAATTGAAGAAAGAAAATAAAAAATGCACGCACACCACACAAACAGACACACACACACACATATATATATATATATATAGAGAGAGAGAGAGATAGATCGATAGATAGATAGATAGATAGATAGATAGATAGATAGATAGGGTTAGCAAAATGAAAGAGAGATAAATAAAAAGATAGGATCCCTCGTTTTCTCTATCCCCTATGTGTGATTAGTTTATCCCTTATTTAGTGTCTGACACTGACTGAAATATCCACATATCTTATTCCAAATAGACAAACCGTCTGGATATAAATTCTCTCGCTTTTAATAAAACATAAATAGAAGAAATTAAGAGGAGGAAAAAAGAAAGAATTCAAAAAGCCAAAAAGAAAATATCTCCAGAGAGAATTATTTACATTGAGCTACGCATGCGCAGAAACTAATAACATAAAATATACAATAAAAATGAATAAATGCAAAGAAAAATTCCTGCTCCCACAGCTTAACCAAGTTACTTCCACCTAATTAGGCTATAATGTTCTGGACATTGCTGGGTGTAGCTGCGTCTGGGTCCTTCACGCTTGCAGCGTAATGTTGTTACTGTCGCACGTTCTTGATCAATGGGAAGCCAACGTTTTGAAACTCTTGTGTGTCAGCCATAACCAAATAAATTGAAAGACGAAGATCTGGCCGGTGAGAGTGAATGGAAAAAGACCGTCATTGGTCAAAATAATATCAATGTAAAGCGCTACAAAGGAGAGATGGAATGAGGAAGGTGTGGATCATCTGTGTGGCAATGGCAAAAATAAAAATAAAAGTAAATACAGGCAGTAGCAGATTATTGAGATGAAAGATCAGAGAGTTAGAGGTGTGTCTGGAAATGACTGCGTGTGAGATGCAAATAAAGAAGCTAGAACTCAACATTTAAATACTAATGATAATGGCGAAATGATCATTTACCATAGAATCTAACCAAGTGTTTTGATCCTAATTTGGGATTTCATTATTTGCCAATAACTGGGACCCTAACGGTTGGTACCAAGCCGTATCAGGGTGGACCTGGGAACAGCAGCAATTAAGAGGTGGTTCCACGCCCCTCAAAATCTTTTAATTTTTGTCCCTGCCCGTGTGTACGCGCTCGGGTCCCCACATTAATTTGACCTTCTGTCACATCTCGTGGGGGAATGAGTAAATACCAGAGCGACGTGCTCCCTCTCTCACCTTCAGCTGGCCGACCCACGTGGAAAATAAAGTTCAACATCTCAAGTGTTAATAAAAGCAAAGCATGTCCGATTTATAAAGATTTCCTATTTGTCCCTTATCCTATCATTCTCTTGCATTCCTATCTATATTTGATCTTAATTCATATATATATATATATATATATATATATATATATATATATATATATATATAAACAGATGCAAACTATGCCTAGAAGAAAAAATTAAAATAATTAAGTACAAAAATACAAGCCAGTTATTGAACCAGAGAAATGAAATTATACTTAAATGTCATCATAAAAATAAGTTTATATTGTCTTAAAAATAGACCTTTTGCATCAAACACTGAAAAATATATATTTGGTTGTTACTATGTAAGTTTATATATATGTATGTATATATCTATGTGTGTATTGTATATGTGTGTATCTATCTATTACTTTTATTACTATTATTATTACTTTAAATATATTATATATATATATTTTTATTACCATTAAATGATGATGATGTTTAAATGAATAACAACATAGATTGCATTTCTGTTATTTTTATTACTGGTTGCGCAGTTAAAGTTTTATTCATAAAATTTTCCCCTACCTTCCCTTACTGCAATATTCTCAAAAAAATCTAAAGTAGGATCTTTAATGTAATCAGTACTGAATTAGTTTCTTGATTTCAGCTGCTTTCTCACAGACGTGATGTGGCTTCCCTCTGTCTTTTCTACAAATATTTTCATGGCTACTGCACTGATGAGCATTTTTCCCCTGGTGCCCTGACTACATGAATTTAAGTGTGCTACTAGATTGGCATCTAGGTCCCAACATTTTACTGTTGAAATAGTTAAATATAACCGCCCTCCTAACAGTTTCTTTCCTCGCACTTCTCCATATTGGAACTCCATTCCTCTCACTTGCTTCACTGATAACTACAATCATCAAAAACCTAAATGCAACATCAGTCGCCATGTTTTGTTGCGTTGATACCTGTTCTTTTTTCCTTTCTTCAATCCCCCCTACACCCACATTTTTCTCTCATTTTCACTCTCCATAACCCCCTGTGTAATAATGGCACTTCTGACTTGCTTGGGGTGAAATGCTTAAAAAAAAAAACAAAAAAAAACATTGAATATAAAATAATTAAGGTACTGACAAAAGCATCTAATAAAATAATTAGGGTACTGAAAATAGCATCTCCCACAATCAAAGGTAAAGCTCTCCCTACCAAGAGCTGAATAATAAAAAAGTGCTCAATACAATATATATATATATATATATATATATATATATATATATATATATATATATATATATAAGGCAGGATTTGTGTGTAACGAATGCACAGAATTCGCAGTGCAAGAAGTAAGGCATGAAGCAACATCAGCACGGCAAAAGGCACTCCTTTAAAGGCAATGGAGGGCAAAAATATTTTAAGTCAAGTGATAGCGATTGCTGTATGAGTCGTACGATTTTTGAATCAAGCACTTCTGACTTGCTTGGGGTGAAATGCTTAAAAAAAAACAAAAAAAAAACATTGAATATAAAATAATTAGGGGACTGACAAAAGCATCTAATAAAATAATTAGGGTACTGAAAATAGCATCTACCACAATCAAAGGTAAAAGCTCTCCCTACCAACAGCTAAAATAATAAAAAAAGTGCTCAATACAATATATATATATATATATATATATATATATATATATATATATAAAATATATATATATATATATATAAGGCAGAATTTGTGTGTAACGAATGCACAGAATTCGCAGTGCAAGAAGTAAGGCATGAAGCAACATCAGCATGGCAAAGGGCATTCCTTTAAAGGCAAGGGAGGGCAAAAATATTTTAAGTCAAGTGATAGCGATTGCTGTATGAGTCGTACGATTTTTGAATCAAGCACGGGCAACGCTGGGCCATGCTGCTAGTCTAAACTAAGTATTAATAAACAGGAAAATTGCGTTAGAAATGAAGAAAAGAGTTTTTACTGCTATGTAATATTAGACCTTATATATGGCAATGAATTATGAATAATCTTATAGATGAAGCAGGGACTTGTGGCAATAGTGATAACGTTATACAGAAGGACGCTGAGAATACGATGGTGTATAAGAGTAACGCGGAAAATTGAGGAAAAATAACAGATACACATAATCTGAAATATAATCCTGAAATTACTTGGACACATAACAAGGAAGATGGTGTTTCGGCATTTGATACTAACAGTACATATCGAAGGCAACATTGTTAGTGGGAGGTAATGGTCTCTCTGCCTGATGAACAATGGCTGGGGGAACGAGGTTGGGATGGGTGGTAAAAAACAGACATTACTCATAGCTACAAAGGATAGGATATTGTGGAGAGACACGATTGCCAATGTCTTGAAAGGACAAAGAAGAAAAAGAAAAAGAAATCGAAACCTTTCCTATGTTCAATGGTTACAAAATAGAATACAAATAAAATACAACAATATAGTAGTTTGGGAAGGATAAAAAGAAAGAGTGAGGAAAAGATAAGCTTGAAGAACAAATGAAGATGTCAAATTATTCATTGGCAACAGAGAAACGTCTAATTGGAATGTTTCTATGACAGATAAACAAAAAGGACGACAACCTTCAGGATGAAAATGCAGACCTCTAATTATTCATTGGAGACTCTGTAGGAGACTGAAATGGATAATAAATCATAAAACACGGACGAAAAGATTGAAGATGGTAATTTCTAAGAAAGAACGCAATAGAATTAAAGTTTGAGTGAGAAAAAAATGGCGTCACACACTACGACATGAAAAAAGTCCGACAATTATTCTAAGATATTTTTTTATTGTTATGCTATTTATATAGGCACAAATATTTAAGTCAATGCTCTGCTTTATAATAAACAGTATTAGCAACATTTACCGGCCGAACACATATGTGCATGAACACATATTTTCTATGAAAAATTCTCAGGTATTTCTCCAGTAATATCCACATGAGATTTATGGTCGTGAAGGCCTGTGTAGAAAAAAAAAACATGTTACACAAGTCGAATAGAGTCTTGACACAAACGACTCTCTTCAGATTTTTAATTCAGAGTTGTCCTTTTCATAGACTGGTTGCCAACTGTTGTAGTATAGCTGAACACCCCCACATGATGAACAGGTCTAAGACTATTTAAACAGCAATTTCTCTCACTGAGTGAGATGTGTAAACGATTACAGAGTACTACTGACGCAGGTTTCTCTAATTTTTTCTATTTTCAAACCAGCATTTGACCTCACGAGGATTTTTATTTACACATATTTTCTACCTGACGAGGATCGTATCTGGATATTTTTTTGTTAAGTATTTTTATTTTTATGTTTGTTTCATTTTGTTGATTATATATATATATATACATATATTTTTTTTAGTTTTTTTTTCACGTTCCTTCAGCAGCGGCTGAATTTGTTTTCTTTTTTCTTTTTAAGTTTGTTTTTATTTACATATTTTTGTCTTTTTACATTGGACTTGTTTTTTGCGTCGCACTTGATTTTTTTCCTGCCTGTTTTATCTTTTTAAATGTTTTATTTTGTCCTTCATTTTCATTTTCGTTTTCGCTTTTTTACATTTGTTTGAACTTTCTGGCCGGGAAATAAGACCAGTTTCTGGGTTTTATGGGAAAAACGTCCCAGGATGGCCGACCTGATTCGGACCATCACAAATTTATTTGGATCTGCCACTAATGAACATCCACAAAGTAAAGGAGGCTGTTCCCCGTAAAAAAACAAGAAGACAAAATGAAAATAAATCTTCCAAAGGTGAACTCTATAAAGGAAAGGTTAATCTATCCACCCCCGTTATAGAAAAAATAGAAAAAAAGGAAAGTGAAAAAGAGGAAGATACGAGCATTAATATGGCGGCGGTCGAAGTCAGCGGTGTTTTCAGCTGAAGAATCATCCACTGTTTGGAGTTCCCTCTACCGAAATGCATAGTCTATATGGCGGAGTTTGTTCAGAGAGCCAAACAGTACG